AAAAATAGAGTGCGCAGTACTGAATTTAGATAGTTCTGATAATCCTGGAACTCATTGGGTAGCCTACGTTAAGCAAGATAACTATTAAAAAAAATTCCACGCGGACCAGGCAGCAGACGGGACTCGAACCCGCACCCTTCGCAATCCGGGCGAATGCACTGACCAATTATGCTACCGCGGCCCTCACGGACCGCGTCGAAATTCTTTCTAGCTATTCTTAAGCTGCAAGGCAGCGCCATCTCTTCGCATTATAGGTAATCCCACAATGTCAAATGAATACTTTTACAAGTATTAAACATTTGAAAGAAGAAATAGCAATTATAGTTATAATTTTTATTATTTTTAAAGCATGTAACTGCTTGATGTTTAAATCTAAAGAAAACATAACTAGAAAAAATTCCACGCGGACCAGGCAGCAGACGGGACTCGAACCCGCACCCTTCGCAATCCGGGCGAATGCACTGACCAATTATGCTACCGCGGCCCTCACGGACCGCGTCGAAATTCTTTCTAGCTATTCTTAAGCTGCAAGGCAGCGCCATCTCTTCGCATTATAGGTAATCCCACAATGTCAAATGAATACTTTTACAAGTATTAAACATTTGAAAGAAGAAATAGCAATTATAGTTATAATTTTTATTATTTTTAAAGCATGTAACTGCTTGATGTTTAAATCTAAAGAAAACATAACTAGAAAAAATTCCACGCGGACCAGGCAGCAGACGGGACTCGAACCCGCACCCTTCGCAATCCGGGCGAATGCACTGACCAATTATGCTACCGCGGCCCTCACGGACCGCGTCGAAATTCTTTCTAGCTATTCTTAAGCTGCAAGGCAGCGCCATCTCTTCGCATTATAGGTAATCCCACAATGTCAAATGAATACTTTTACAAGTATTAAACATTTGAAAGAAGAAATAGCAATTATAGTTATAATTTTTATTATTTTTAAAGCATGTAACTGCTTGATGTTTAAATCTAAAGAAAACATAACTAGAAAAAATTCCACGCGGACCAGGCAGCAGACGGGACTCGAACCCGCACCCTTCGCAATCCGGGCGAATGCACTGACCAATTATGCTACCGCGGCCCTCACGGACCGCGTCGAAATTCTTTCTAGCTATTCTTAAGCTGCAAGGCAGCGCCATCTCTTCGCATTATAGGTAAAATAATAAAAATTATAACTATAATTGCTATTTCTTCTTTCAAATGTTTAATACTTGTAAAAGTATTCATTTGACATTGTGGGATTACCTATAATGCGAAGAGATGGCGCTGCCTTGCAGCTTAAGAATAGCTAGAAAGAATTTCGACGTGGTCCGTGAGGGCCGCGGTAGCATAATTGGTCAGTGCATTCGCCCGGATTGCGAAGGGTGCGGGTTCGAGTCCCGTCTGCTGCCTGGTCCGCGTGGAATTTTTTCTAGTTATGTTTTCTTTAGATTTAAACATCAAGCAGTTACATGCTTTAAAAATAATAAAAATTATAACTATAATTGCTATTTCTTCTTTCAAATGTTTAATACTTGTAAAAGTATTCATTTGACATTGTGGGTTTACCTATAATGCGAAGAGATGGCGCTGCCTTGCAGCTTAAGAATAGCTAGAAAGAATTTCGACGCGGTCCGTGAGGGCCGCGGTAGCATAATTGGTCAGTGCATTCGCCCGGATTGCGAAGGGTGCGGGTTCGAGTCCCGTCTGCTGCCTGGTCCGCGTGGAATTTTTTCTAGTTATGTTTTCTTTAGATTTAAACATCAAGCAGTTACATGCTTTAAAAATAATAAAAATTATAACTATAATTGCTATTTCTTCTTTCAAATGTTTAATACTTGTAAAAGTATTCATTTGACATTGTGGGATTACCTATAATGCGAAGAGATGGCGCTGCCTTGCAGCTTAAGAATAGCTAGAAAGAATTTCGACGCGGTCCGTGAGGGGCCGCGGTAGCATAATTGGTCAGTGCATTCGCCCGGATTGCGAAGGGTGCGGGTTCGAGTCCCGTCTGCTGCCTGGTCCGCGTGGAATTTTTTCTAGTTATGTTTTCTTTAGATTTAAACATCAAGCAGTTACATGCTTTAAAAATAATAAAAATTATAAAGATAACTATTGTGAATATTTTGATAGTTTTGGTAATTTAAAACCACCTATGGAATTAATTAATTATTTAAGACATATATCAATAAATTATAATTACGCACAGTATCAAGTATTTGGCAGTGTAAACTGTGGTCATCTTTGTTTAAGGTTTTTGCGAAACTATTGGAAAAAACATTTATATTCAAAATGTAATAAAAATCTTGATTAGTACAAAAATGTCTTTCACTGTGTCAATAACTGGCAGAGGAGAATCTTTACTGACTAACTACTCCCCTACTTTACAATTACGTGGAAATTATGAGTGTGGACTTTTATACTTTTCCGCATTTAATTCCATCCCTAATATAGACCATAGAAATAATAAATTTTATTATGGCAAAGATGGAGTTATAGAAATACCTGAAGGATCGTATGAACTTCAAGATATTTGTGATTTCCTCAAAAGTAACGTAAAAAATGCAACTCTAAAATTAAATTGTAATAATAATACTTTAAAAACAAGCTTGTTCTGTTCCAAAGATGTTCATTTCAATAAAAGTGACTCAATTGGTAAATTATTAGGTTTTGGTGTGGAAACAGTGAAGGCTAATATAAGAACTGAGTCTCGGTATCCTGTCAACATTCTTTTAACAACTATCATACGCATCGAATGTGATGTCATAAGTGGATCATACGTGAATGGAAAAGCAAGTCATATTATTTATGAATTTGTACCTAATGTTCCACCAGGTTATAGAATAATTGAAATACCTAAAAACCTAATATATTTTCCCGTCAATCAAAGTTCACTAAGTTCTATAAATATAAAACTATTAGACTCAGAAAATAAAGAAATCAATTTACGTGGTGAAGAAATACAGTTATACTTACATTTCAAAAAATGTTGAATTTCAATAAAAGCCTGTCTACGTCGACTGTTAAAGTTAGTTCTAAAAGAACCCCGCATAGAGAAGCATCGCTTCAATTAAAAAAGAAATTAACTAAAAGCAACAAGGATTTTTTGAGGCTAGTAGGTTTATTAAAATGAATATTCTAAATATATCTCAACCGGCGTCACACGACAATAGTATTGAAAGTTTTGAATATCATTCTTACAAACCATATGTGACAAGTTTCAACAAGAATGATGAAATACGGATACCAATTAATCAGCAAGACTTGTACGTGTTACCCGCACTCAGCAGTTTATATATTGAGGGCAAAGTCGACGTGTATAAGTATGATAACACAACCAAAGAAAAAGAAAGAATGTCAAGTGTACATTTTGTAAATAATCCAGCACTATTTTTATTTCAAGACATTCGATATGAACTAAACGGAGTAGAAATAGATAGGGTTAAAAATGCAGGAATTACTACTACCATGAAATCCTATCTTTCATTGAATGAAAATGAATCTAAATGTGCAAAAGTTTGGGGTTGGTCTCCTACGGGTACTACTTCTGTTAGTAATGGAGTATTTTCAGCTTCTATACCACTAAATAAAGTTTTGGGTTTTGCAGAAGACTACGAAAAAATCTTAATTAATTGTAAACACGAATTAGTACTTTTGAGAAATAACACTAATATTAATGCTTTAAAGTTAAATGTTGGGGAAGTTGTGGAGGATATAATAATAAATAAAATTGTATGGCGAGTTCCTCATGTTAAAGTATCAGACAGAGAAAGAATAAATTTATTAAAACATTTAGAAAAAGATCGTGCTATTACAGTTGCATTTCGCAATTGGGATTTGTATGAGTATCCCTTATTACCAAAAACGCGTAAGCATACCTGGTCTATTAAAACTTCATCGCAGATAGAAAAACCACGATTTGTTGTTATTGCTTTACAAACTAACCGTAAGCACAACGCGCAGTTGTCAATGGCAGAGTTCGATCATTGCTATGTACGTGACGTTAGTTTTTCTTAACTCATCCTACTACCCTTATGAAAGCCTTAACATAGATTTCTCTAATAACATTTTTTCATTAATATACGAGCAATACGCGAGGTTTCAGCAGTCTTATCATGGTCGTCGAGCAGAGCCGTTGATGAGTATCAAAGAATTCAAAGAGATTGCTCCATTGTTTGTCATCGATTGTTCGCGCCAACACGAAATGCTAAAAGGATCCATTGATGTTCGAGTTGAAATCGAAACAGATCAAGAGATACCTGATCAAACCGCTGCATATTGTCTTATACTAAACGATTGTATTTTTGAATACAAGCCTTTGAGTAATATTGTTAAAAAAATATCATGAATAACAGTACAATAATTGTGGATCTGCAGGGATTTAAAGATTTACAAAATAAATTTATTATTAAAGAATTTGCAATAGCTTATGAAAATCACACACAGACTTTCCTTATCAAACCACCTTATAGTTTTATGACTCTATCAAACAAAGAAAAGAAGCAGGAAGGATTTATTGATTATCGTGAATTTAGACGTATAGTGGATATGTATCTTAAAGACAAAACAATATTAACAAAAGGATTGGAAAAAATTCAGTGGATAAGAGAGCTATGTCAAAATTGTGAAATATTAGACTTAAGCGACAAAGGTTGTCCAAATTTTTTGAAACTATATGGTGAGCATAGTGACGAAAAAAAACTCGAATTAAATTGTGTTTATCATCAAGAAATATGCGCATTAAGAAATGTTATCTGTCTTAGAATGTGGTACTGCAAACAATTTGCAACTAAAGTGTAAAAATGTAATGTAAGTAATTTTGTATTGTTTTGAATTTGTTTGTAATTTTTATTGTTTCATTAGGTTAAACTGTAAGAATCATTAATAAATATTAATTATGTACTTAATTGGTCTTTTTTTTCTAGATTATCTCAAAATGTTTAAATAAAAATCATTATTCATAAAATTAAAATAATTTAATAAAAATGAAGATATTTACAACAATAAAAATACTACAAATTGTCACTACACAGTTTTTTCGAAATTTTCCTAACAATACATTCCGTCAAGTCCATAATTTCATCAACCTGGTCATGGACTACGTATTGAGCACTTAGCACCACCCTCTCGTTACTTCCGTTGTCGGCAAACGTTGCTGAAGAAGATCCCTCCATTCCACCAGTGTTAGATTCACTGGTCAACTCCAGCACTCGTATCTGAATTAATTTATTTCCCTGCCTCTGTTCACTTATCACGAACGATTTTGTAGAAATCTTCTTCTTTTTCAGTGACAGCGAGATTTTCTTTTTTCTCCTTATAACTTCGGGTTTTTTAGATTCCTGTTCTTCTTTCGGTTGGTAACCAAATAATTCTTCACATTGCTGAGTGAAGTTCTCCAAAGGATCTTGAGCATATTGAGAAAACATAATATCAGTGCAGTCCGTCATTATCTGTAAAGATAATTATTGAGTTATTATATAATAAAATTGCAATTATAATCAGGGCACTCCTAAAATTACATGAAATAAAAAATACTTACCCAATAAAGCTGGTAAGCCGGTGACTTAGGTTATGTGTAACTTTCACCTATGCCGATTGAAATATGACTAAAATACTTAGGAATGTTTTTGCCTTCAGTTGTACCTATATTGCAAAAATTTTATTTTTGTGGCATCATCATATTACATGACCTAAATTGAACACGTGTAAGTAAAATTTATAATTCGAATACTACGAGTTTTTACAAGTTTTTCTGACTGCAGTAGACAATATTTTAAATGATTAACTATCCAATAAGTTGGAAAATTTTCTTAGTAGGCGTGAGCAAGTTTCAAAACCTTTGATCCAAATCCGTATTTGATCCAGTTATTGAAACATAATGATATTTCAATAAACTTGTTCATTAAGAACAGAGATTAATAAATGAAACAACTTAACTATAACATTATATTTTTATTTAAAATAAATTTATGTTACACTAAAACTTAAAAATAAAACCTATTGTTATATCAACTAAAAAAATCTAATTTAATATTAAAGTTGGTGAACCAGTCTATTAATTATACTAAATATAAATCTTAAAAAAAGCTGGATTTATGACCCCAAGCCAATGTGCTAATATTGCCCTTTAATAAAATACGTTTGTCGTCATTTGACGACAAGGCTATTTTATCAATCGATTGAGTGAAGAGTTGATGTTTGAAGGACTTAAAAACGATATTCTTTTTTCGTATGATTTCATTACGCAATAATACATTATTGTAGTCTTCAAATAACAATTTCTTAACGACAGTTTTCTTAATACCCTTAGCCTTTTTTATTTCTTTGTTTTCAGTTTTAATACAATACAATTTGGACCTTAAACCAACAAATTCTTTTATGAGCTGGCCCCCCAACTCATCCTTAAACAAACCAGGAACCTTTTTATTTTTACGCTCAATACCGTATGAATTATTATCATCATAGTTGCTTGTATCAAAATAAGACTGAAATCTAACTTTCAAATCTTTATAAATGTCATTGGTCTGTATGGAGTAAAGAAAACTATCTGTATCTGTGTAACAAAGCTTCAAATTGCATCCATAGAAGGGTTTCATAATAGAATAATGAAAATTGTACATGTGACTTTTGGAAATTTCCAAAACTGTAAAACCAATGTAAATAGGTTTATCTAATATTATTGACTCTGGCTTCATTTGAACTGCAACAAAATTCTCAGAGAAAACAGTTGCACTATGATAATTTGGTCTGGCTATTAATTGTTCAGCACTTAATTGTTTTTTCGTTATATTTTCACTATCCACCCACTGACTAACTAATTTTACGTCCAATCGTTTTTCTGGGTCTTCAAGAGTTTTTCCAAAAATGCTATTATTTAACAGCTTAAAAAAATCTTGTTCAAATGTTGATGTTGCTTTTTGACGTAATTCTGTATTTAAATCAATGTATTGTTTTAAATACGGGCTTTGCTTAAATTTGATTACCCTATGAACTTTTTTTAATTTCAACCCATGATTTAGACATGTTTTTAAATGTACATAATGTATAACATAATTAAATTTATCGTATAAGTTTGGTATCAACTTAGATGTTTTTGACCCAGGTGGAGTAAATTTTTGTGGACAAAATGGTAATTCGTTATGTAAATCATGTAACTTTTCTGGATACTCTAAATCTACTTCTAAAATAAAACCTTCTTCAGAGTCATCCGGAGTGTTCAAGATATCACGAGGATTAAAATCGGATTCATTCAATAAACGAAACTCAGAATGTGGCAAATGCGAGCACATTGCGTAACCGTACAAATTGTTACAATCTATGTAAAATAAGTAATTATCGGGAGAAGACGGTTCGTAATCAGATAGGTATTGGTTGTTTGCCCTTGCATATCTAGTAGGACATAAACATACACCTCCACGGATGCCTTTCTGTATTAATCTTATTATTTCTAAGTCCTCAATCAATTGCAGTTTAACTTTTGTTTTAAGAAGCATAGCATCAAAACTTAAGCCTGGGGCTGTAAGATAAAACGAAGGATCCAAACGGTAATTGGTTTTACATGTATGACGAAATTTCTCAAAAGTATCTGCAAGCAATAGTACGTCTGATTTCAAATATAAATCTGTATATTCGCCAAGGTTCTTTAATTCAAATATTTTCCAAACTCGCTTAGCATGTTCATAATCGGACTCCGAAATAGTGCACTCACTCAAAGTACTATAGAAATTTTGTTGCAAAGGTAATTTCTTTTCTTTATATGATTCCCATTTATTCATGTATTCGTACGGATAGACACCCTTTCGCCTTAATAATTCAAACTGTTTTTTGCGGGAAATATTTTGATAAATGTAAAAAGTCGTGAGTATTTAAACCAGACACTAATTTTTCGAGGCTTGTGCCTAAAAACTTAAATGAATCGACGAAGCGAACTGCCATGTAATCATTGTCTTTTGTTGTAAAAAACTTGGTGAAAGATATGTAGTTTTCCTTGTTTTTTGCTATAACTTTTATAGGACCTGATGTTTGTGCCAACTGTCGTATAAATAAATGACAATCATAACCGGACAAATTGTGAAAAAACACTGGCACAAATTGAGGTAAACGATATTTCAGATTGCAATACGAATGAATGGCACCACGATACCTTCCTGTCAGATGGCAGTGATCACGAACTCTGTCATCAAATAACATTTGATTACACAGATAACATAACTTGGTTGTGTGGTATGACTCGGTTTCCTCAGCTGTCAATTTATTCATAGGTATTGTATTTTTATAAAGCTGGAAAATTTTTAGAACATCTCCTTTAAGGTAATCAATAAATTTATCAACACAGTCTTCACCACGATAAGACACATACTTATTCAAAGAACTATCATAAGAGCATACTACATAGTATGCAAATGCAGCTGGGATATGCTTTTGTAATGTTTTCGTACAATTGGAACTAGGGCCTAGTTCTGGACTCATTTGCAATAATGATTCAAAATCCGCATATATTACAAAAGGCATGTCTTGCATTTTTTCATAATTTTAAATTGAATAAGAGTGCCGCGCCTCGGTAAAATAGTGGCGACACCACCACACACGTGAGCATTGAATTTAGATGCATTTTCAAAAAATATCATGCAATCGTCACAAAAATATATTTTGCTATGATGCTTTGTAAGTTGTGATCTCAACAAACGGCTTAAGTTTTTTATCAAGCAGTAATGTGTAAGATTTCCCTTTTCTATGAACAACAAGTTTATGTGATTTTTCTTTTTGTTCTGAGTGCGATATAAGGGACCAACAATGTTTGTTTTATTTTTTAACCCATAGACATTTATGCTTATGTTAGAATTATTTTTTTCGAATGTTTTGATGTCAGAAAAGTTTACCGGAAAAGTCATATTTTTTATATTGAGCACATTCTCAAAATGAGGATAAGAAGAAGTTCGATGTGCGTTATTTTCAGCAGGAAATAATGCTGCCATTATGCTCCACAAAAAGCAAAAATTATCACTATTGTGAATATTAATACATGCACGTTTGAGTTTTAGAGATTTTGGCAAATCGATAAATTTCGACGCTCTTAGAGGATTATATTTATTAATATTAATTTCTAAATGTAAATTACGTAAAAATAACCATCCACTGTCACACAAAAACATGTTCTATTAGTGGGATAATTATAAGTGAAAGTCATGGATTTATAATATAAAACATATCAAAGAGTAAAGTTAAGAAGATTTTCTAACTTATTAAATTATGTAAACGTTATCTAAGAGTAACCACTACACAAGAGACATCATACCGTTTGTTAATTTCCTCGTCTTCAAAATCAATGTTCTTTTTGATGTTAAATTGTGACTTAGCGGCAGGCTTGGAGTTATAATATTCAATATCCGACCTGAGAACAAAAGAGTTACACTGTAAATTAACAAATACAATAAACAGACAAATAAAATAATGTATTTAAAAAACTTACGAACATGATTTCAACGCAATGAATCTTCGTGGTATTAACAATTAAAACACTAGGTGATGGTCACAACGGAGCCGTGCTGAAGTTGTAATAAAGGTGTATTGATTGGAAAACCTCAATTTATTTCAAAATATTGCATGATAAGCAAATGGAATGGTCAACATTTTTGTTGAAAATTAATAACAGACGTAACTAAAATATAATAATAAAGTTAAGTAAACATCACTGAATGCTATGATTTAAAAAAGGTTTGTTAACACTGTGGTTTTTTTTCTAATATTCAGCAATTATTAATTTGCATTGCGAAAATTGCACAAAATAAATTTTGTGAAAAACAAATGTATCAATTTACAATAGGTACACGTCCACGTCCGGTTGGAATTAGTAAAGTCAGCTTTTAAGTGGTAGTAGTGCATAGCGGATTTCCCGCTTGAATTGGAACCCCCGACTGGGGAAGTAATTTCTTAAAGACTTCACACTAAAATAAAATAAAATTTTCGTGATGTTGTAGGTAAGTTTCCAGTCTTCCACTCGGTAGGGGATTGCGTTCGGGCCAGCATGGTGAGGATGGGTGGATTACTGCTGTTATATTTAATTATCAGATGGCAATATCTGCATGTATATATCAAATAAAATAGTTATTGTTATCAATATATAGATAAATAATAAATCTCAAATCTAAACTTAGTAATTTTATCTTCCATGTGTATTGTTTTTATTCATTCTATTCGACTTCAAGCATAGTTCAAGGTCCGGCTGCTAAATCTGAATGGAAAACGTAACGAGTTTTATATTTCTCAGTGTTATGAAAAATATTGACTTTGCCAAAAATACACCGGAACTCTTATCTCAGTTCATATAAGTAGCATGACTACTTAATTAAAGAAACAAGAAATGTTGTTGAAATTCGACAATAGCATGTCTTTGTGCAACTGTATAAATTATTCCCTTACTAGTATTAAAGAATAACTGCAATATGTTTTTGTCATAACAATAATGCATCAAAAGTACATTTTATTATTTTTCATAATTAACGAATTTGGTACGAAGAAATATAAAATTAATTACAATTCTTTTAAATACGTATACGACTCCTTGACTATAATGTAAGTGTAACTAAGGTTGGTCCACGTATCAAGAGAATAGCGTGTAGCGGCTTTTTCGCTCGAATTGGAGTATTCTCTAGTGTAGCAGAATTGAGTTTGCACTGCAAAGCTGAGAGGTAGATGCAGCACATTTAAGTATATTTTAGGAACGGCTCTCACTTAAGTGTGAGTGACGACATAAATAATTAAAAATTTAAAGTAATAATATATATATCAAATATTCACCAATTTTCATTAATATTTTTAAGTAAACATAAGAAATTTAATGGATATACCTACTAATTGATTTATGTTCAAATTCTGAATAAAAAGCGATTCATTTTCGTAACTTTAATAATAGATTGTAACAAATTGCTATTTCATAAAACGCTACAGTCTGTACACTATGACCATACCACTACATTTTATTTGCATACTTGCATATTATCGCTCGTTCAACGTTCATTATTTATTGCATCATTCGAGTAACAACTGCAACATGTGTTTTACTTTGTAGGCACACATTAGCTCACCTTTGCGTGTGTGCATACAGTTACCAACGCTGCAGCATCAGCATTTTTAGGGACAAAGAAATATTCTTATAATTAATTCATTCTCCTTGCGCGCCAGTCCCGGGCACTCGTTGACATATTTGCTAAAGTGATTTAAATATCAATTTTTACTCATGGCGTTCCCGTGTTTGCTATTGTCTTCATGGTTGTAACCTAACCGTGGGCGGCTATTGATAAAATATCTTAACTCTGTTGGATGGGGGAGTACGAGCCAATCTGGTCCAGAAAATGTTACTCGCGCTGTCTAGATGGTAACTCCGAGGCAATCGGCTTTGAATTATATTCAAGGAGACCATGATCCAATCTGGCCTAGACATCGTGATTCCTAAATTATTGACTTCTATGTGGTTCCTCCGAGACAAGTTGACAAATATTCAAGGAGACCACGAGCCAACCTGATTTAAACTTTATAAAAATTCTGGGTACTCCCTGAGGCAACCTGTTCATTCACATGGTTTAATATCTTTATCATAACGCTTTCATTGTATAAGGGCATGAGTCAAAGTGGCCCATGAAGACATTATCAGATAAGAACCCTTGAATAATAATTGTTTTAGTGATGTGATAAAAATGATGTGCTAATAATGATGTACTAAAGATATTTTCTGGTAAGTTACATTATATTATATATAAACATGTAAACTACTAAATTTGAAATAATATTCGTTAAGATGCAGGTTCGAATCCCGCCAGATTTTTGAGACACGTTTTACGTATGTTATTAACATGAGTTATTTTTCAATTACATTGACAATACCTTCTTGTATGGAAGCAAACCCTTTAATAATAAAATTATATATAGATGATTATTGGATTCCTTTACTCAAATTGACGGCCATGATATTAAAGAAATAATTAAGAAATCAATTACAACGAAAAAAATCCATATTCGTTATAATTTCGATTTATTATTTGAACTCAGCGTTCTGTATTATAATTAAATCATACGAAAATCGAAGCTCTATATAAACATAAACTATTTTTAAAGTGATGACAAGCCATTAAATTAAAAGTTAAATTTAGAATATAGTCATAATTTGCATTCGTTTTAAAGTACGACTTATATATTGATATTATAAAATCCCACCAGGAATAGAAGTTTCATAAAAGTATTTTTTATGAATTCTCTGGCTTTATTATAATTAGCGTTTCAAAATGCTCGCTTTAGGCATGACATGAATGTCGCATCATATTGCACGCGCGGCACTTGACCTCGAGATCGGCGGCCAGCGGGACAGCAGGCGATACTGGTAAGCTGACGATGTTTATTAAATTCGCTATAAAATGCGTTTTTATAATTTTGTAGAGACACTGATGATTTTTTACGGATTGTTTGAATCAAATTATCGTCCCCGTTATTCCGAGTGATTGTTTTAATAAATAGTCATATAGCAACTGATTAAGTATATTAAAATCTAATTGCACCTATTTATATTCCTATTTTAGATATTATTCATATTTAAGACGTTGTTTAGTCGCGACCTCACTCGTGGGGTAACTAAGAATGCCACGGTACCTGGTTGGTTATTGGGGATTTTAATTAACTTTTATCTCTATATCGCGAAACCAAAAAAGGTGAATTAGAAGCCTCCAATCGCTTGTGATTGGGGGATTTTAATTCACTTTTTTGGTTTTGTGATATAGAGATAAAAGTGAATTAGAATTCCCAATACCTACCTACTGACATTGACTAATTGTTATATTCAACTATGTATCGAACAATGGGGCCTAAGTACAAAATGACCATGAGGTTGCCTTTTTAAAAATTGAATTCAATAACCAAACACAATATTATTGCGTTAAATATTTAAAATGTGGTAAATTAGACTAAGGGTTACTTTTACTATCTAAAGTATTTTTAACTTTAGTCACATTTAACTAATATCAAATCAAGGGATCTAAGGCCATATTGTTTGATACAACGTTGAATTTGACAATTGGTTAATGTCATGTCAAATACATAGTGGAATGTGTCAAATTTTGACAATTTGTGGTAATATTTCTCTACTATTTTAACTACAGTCAAATCTATTATATAGACTTCTCGTGTCACGGTGTGTGTAATCGAACTACTCCGAAATGACTCGACCGATTTTCGTGAAAATTTTATTTGCATATTCAGTAAGTCTGAGAATCGGGCAACATCTATTTTTCGTCCCCCTAAATGTTAAGGGTGGTCCAGCCTTATTTTTTTTGACATTTCTTTTTGTTTTTATTTTTTATAATATTTTTTATGGCGGTACGAAGTTCGCTGGGACAGCTAGTTTTACTATAAGTAAATAAAACAACGCCGCCATTACTCAACTGATGTTAAACCAAAAAAAAAACTTAAATCATTATTAAAAAAATCATTATTCTGACGATGCAGACCTGAAAAGGCTCCGAAACGTCAATAAATAAATAAAGTTCGTGCATTAATCCGTTAAAACTAGTTTTATTTAATGAGTGATGTGCGTGAAAACCTAAGAAACAAAAAAAACTTTTTAGAAAAGTCTGTCGTTTGTTTAAAAAAAAACCTTTTTCATACTTTAACTTGCATACAATTAGAACCAGGCAATCGCGTTCCTTATTTCTTCGTGATAGGATCTATTTTTGGACAACATTTTACAATCTAATCTTCCCTATAAATTCCGGTAGACGGAATCCTTCCGTATTTTCAGATGCACTGGAGGTGTCGTAAAATCAATTTGCACAATACCGACCCCAGCGTATTGGTAAACACTCCCACAAATTCTCATAACATTTTATTAACGTGTCCCATAGGTACTGTATTTTCCTAGGTGCAAGACATGTCCGCTAATATATTGTACTACCTCGTACAAAGTTATCTATGTTTACGTTCATAGTACGTGCCGCGAGTTGAAATTTCAAGATATATTGCTTATGACAAAGCGCATTGCAAACACGGGAAAATAGGCCACGGAAAGTCTATTTATGTTTTTTATAGAAAGGCACTATTAATGTTTCCTTATCTTCAACACAGAATTTTCGTATCGTAATACTTATTTTTTTTTAAAACTTATCTACCTTAATAGGGATGATGACAGGGTACAGTAAACAAAATTATATTTAGTCCGCCAAATTGAATGTCAAAAAATAATGGACCCAATATAGTATAATTCTTTAGTCAATCAACCAAAAATGATACCGATGATAAAGCCCGTAAAAGTTTGGAAGTGGGGGCTCGTAACGGCAATTCCAGCATATAGTATACCAAGACGTGACGTCATGTGAC